CCTCAAATGAGATTTCTAAACTCTACAACCGCTCCGGTTTGAGCAATAAGAGCCCGCCTTCCGGGTCCTATATTCTAGTTACTAGCTTCAAAGGAACTACTAAAAGAAGGAGTCAAAGCATCGGAGAGTGCTACCTACGAGTGAGTCACCCGCCTGGTTACCTGTCCTTATGAAGGAAGGTGCGCATGAAAGTCTTTACGGAAGACCATCAAATTACTGATTAGGAAGGTCTTTAAGGAATGAACTTCTATTACAGGGATTCTTTTATTAAGACCTTTCGGATAGATAGCCCTATTGAATGAAGGTTGAACACCAACCCGCCTGGAAAGCTAAGAGTCGGCAAAGACCTAGCTGTCGAGGAATGAAAGAAGTCGCTTTCTAGGAGAAGGAGTACGAGGAAGTCAAGTCACAGGCAAGCAACCAACAGGCTAAGAGCTATCTCCCAACCTCTCCCTTATTGACAAAATGAGAGGGATTTCAGGCAATTAGCATATAAGAATTCCTGCCCTAGAAGATCGCATTTCTGACTTGAGCACCGTCTTTAGGCATTTCAGTTCTCAGGATCTTACGAAGAAAGGCTAAAGATCGTACTGAACACAACCCTATGATATGAGTGAAGGCGAGCCAGGAAAGCACCCTGAACTCATAGGGTGAAGGCGAGGAAGCTTTCAAAATTTCAGGGGCTCCTCTAAACAAGAGTTTTGACTAGGTAGATTTGCCCTTCTACGCCGTTTTAGGTGAGTTCGGACTCAATCATTGACCGGAGATTGGGACAGAGCGGATGGCAACTAGCTGACTTCTTCCTGTCACTCGTACAGATCTGATTGAAGATATTGCATTAGAAAGGGATACAAAGTAACTTCCGAAGATTGAAAGAGAGGCAATCCCAGTTCGATACTGGTCTTGTTGCACTTCTTCGAGTTAATGACGGATAGCCCGCTAGGGACTGCTTGGCTTGTTAGCGAGAAAGCGCATAAAAGAATGCCATTTCTCGATCGAGAAAATAGGCTCAAGTACATTAGTCCGTCACTGCCATTTTGACTAGGTGGATTTTGCCTTCTAGTTGACTTCTTTCTGCGGGATACCCTAGTTAGAGCAGTGAAACCTTTAAGGCAAGAGATGCGGGCAAGTCAGTCGCTAGAACTCCCAGATGCTAATAACTCGCTAGAAGGGGTAGAAAGCCTGTTCTTTTGGTACAAATCCTCTTTCTTGAATGAAACTAGCTAGCTGTCTTTGAAGTCAAGTACTTAGCCGGAAAGGCAAGTCCATCGCGGGCACTACCCGACTTATTTCGGTATTGCATATAAGTACAAGTTTAGATGTGGCCATCTAGACAAGTGAAACGGTCCTTGCTGTCGAAGTTTACTACTGGATAGGAATTCCATCGGTATGGCATTAGAACTGCTCGGAGAAGTTCGATATTGAAGGTATACAGTTCGATAGATCGGTATTGAAGTGAGATATTCAATCCTCTTTCTATTGAATGGTATTTCACTGCCTTTCATGTACAAGTATTGCAACTGAGACTGAGAGACAAGGGAGATCCCATTGAACTTGCCTTGATTGAATGAAGGCTAGCTGACTTCGATACTGAATGAACTCGCATGCTGGAGAACCGATGAGAGACATAGTCG